TGAGAGGCAGGCGCCTCTCTCCTCTGAGTGAGAGGCAGGCGTCTCTCTCCTCTGAGTGAGAGGCAGGCGCCTCTCTCCTCTGAGTGAGAGGCAGGCACCTCTCTCCTCTGAGTGAGAGGCAGGCGCCTCTCTCCTCTGAGTGAGAGGCAGGCGCCTCTTTCCTCTGAGTGAGAGGCAGGCGCCTCTCTCCTCTGAGTGAGAGGCAGGCGCCCCTCTCCTCTGAGTGAGAGGCAAACGCCTCTCTCCTTTGAGTGAGAGGCAAACGCCTCTCTCCTCTGAGTGAGAGGCAGGCGCCCCTCTCCTCTGATTGAGAGGCAGGCGCCTCTCTCCTCAGAGTGAGAGGCAGGCGCCTCTCTCCTCTGAGTGAGAGGCAGGCGCCTCTCTCCTCTGAGTGAGAGGCAGGCGCCTCTCTCCTCTGAGTGACAGGCAGGCGCCTCTCTCCTCTGAGTGACAGGCAGGCGCCTCTCTCCTCTGAGTGACAGGCAGGCGCCTCTCTCCTCTGAGTGACAGGCAAGCGCCTCTCTCCTCTGAGTGACAGGCAAGCGCCTCTCTCCTCTGAGTGACAGGCAGGCGCCTCTCTCCTCTGAGTGACAGGCAGGCGCCTCTCTCCTCTGAGTGAGAGGCAGGCGCCTCTCTCCTCTGAGTGACAGGCAGGCGCCCCTCCTCTGAGTGAGAGGCAGGCGCCTCTCTCCTCTGAGTGAGAGGCAGGCGCCTCTCTCCTCTGAGTGAGAGGCAGGCGCCCCTCTCCTCTGAGTGAGAGGCAAACGCCTCTCTCCTCTGAGTGAGAGGCAGGCGCCTCTCTCCTCTGAGTGAGAGGCAGGCGCCTCTCTCCTCTGAGTGAGAGGCAGGCGCCTCTCTCCTCTGAGTGAGAGGCAGGCGCCTCTCTCCTCTGAGTGAGAGGCAGGCGCCCCTCCTCTGAGTGGGAGGCAGGCGCCTCTCCTCTGAGTGAGAGGCAGGCGCCTCTCTCCTCTGAGTGAGAGGCAGGCGCCTCTCTCCTCTGAGTGAGAGGCAGGCGCCTCTCTCCTCTGAGTGAGAGGCAGGCGCCTCTCTCCTCTGAGTGAGAGGCAGGCGCCTCTCTCCTCTGAGTGAGAGGCAGGCGCCTCTCTCCTCTGAGTGAGAGGCACGCGCCTCTTTCCTCTGAGTGAGAAGCAGGCGCATCTCTCCTCTGAGTGAGAGGCAGGCGCCCCTCTCCTCTGAGTGAGAGGCAGGGGCCTCTCTCCTCTGAGTGAGAGGCAGGCGCCTCTCTCCTCTGAGTGAGAGGCAGGCGCCTCTTTCCTCTGAGTGAGAGGCAGGCGCCTCTCTCCTCTGAGTGAGAGGCAGGCGCCCCTCTCCTCTGAGTGAGAGGCAAACGCCTCTCTCCTTTGAGTGAGAGGCAAACGCCTCTCTCCTCTGAGTGAGAGGCAGGCGCCCCTCTCCTCTGATTGAGAGGCAGGCGCCTCTCTCCTCAGAGTGAGAGGCAGGCGCCTCTCTCCTCTGAGTGAGAGGCAGGCGCCTCTCTCCTCTGAGTGAGAGGCAGGCGCCTCTCTCCTCTGAGTGACAGGCAGGCGCCTCTCTCCTCTGAGTGACAGGCAGGCGCCTCTCTCCTCTGAGTGAGAGGCAGGCGCCTCTCTCCTCTGAGTGACAGGCAGGCGCCCCTCCTCTGAGTGAGAGGCAGGCGCCTCTCTCCTCTGAGTGAGAGGCAGGCGCCTCTCTCCTCTGAGTGAGAGGCAGGCGCCCCTCTCCTCTGAGTGAGAGGCAAACGCCTCTCTCCTCTGAGTGAGAGGCAGGCGCCTCTCTCCTCTGAGTGAGAGGCAGGCGCCTCTCTCCTCTGAGTGAGAGGCAGGCGCCTCTCTCCTCTGAGTGAGAGGCAGGCGCCTCTCTCCTCTGAGTGAGAGGCAGGCGCCTCTCTCCTCTGAGTGAGAGGCAGGCGCCTCTCTCCTCTGAGTGAGAGGCAGGCGCCTCTCTCCTCTGAGTGAGAGGCAGGCGCCTCTATCCTCTGAGTGAGAGGCAGGCGCCTCTTTCCTCTGAGTGAGAAGCAGGCGCATCTCTCCTCTGAGTGAGAGGCAGGCGCCCCTCTCCTCTGAGTGAGAGGCAGGGGCCTCTCTCCTCTGAGTGAGAGGCAGGCGCCTCTCTCCTCTGAGTGACAGGCAGGCGCCTCTCTCCTCTGAGTGAGAGGCAGGCGCCTCTCTCCTCTGAGTGACAGGCAGGCGCCCCTCCTCTGAGTGAGAGGCAGGCGCCTCTCTCCTCTGAGTGAGAGGCAGGCGCCTCTCTCCTCTGAGTGAGAGGCAGGCGCCCCTCCTCTGAGTGGGAGGCAGGCGCCTCTCCTCTGAGTGAGAGGCAGGCGCCTCTCTCCTCTGAGTGAGAGGCAGGCGCCTCTCTCCTCTGAGTGAGAGGCAGGCGCCTCTCTCCTCTGAGTGAGAGGCAGGCGTCTCTCTCCTCTGAGTGAGAGGCAGGCGCCTCTCTCCTCTGAGTGAGAGGCAGGCACCTCTCTCCTCTGAGTGAGAGGCAGGCGCCTCTCTCCTCTGAGTGAGAGGCAGGCGCCTCTTTCCTCTGAGTGAGAGGCAGGCGCCTCTCTCCTCTGAGTGAGAGGCAGGCGCCCCTCTCCTCTGAGTGAGAGGCAAACGCCTCTCTCCTTTGAGTGAGAGGCAAACGCCTCTCTCCTCTGAGTGAGAGGCAGGCGCCCCTCTCCTCTGATTGAGAGGCAGGCGCCTCTCTCCTCAGAGTGAGAGGCAGGCGCCTCTCTCCTCTGAGTGAGAGGCAGGCGCCTCTCTCCTCTGAGTGAGAGGCAGGCGCCTCTCTCCTCTGAGTGACAGGCAGGCGCCTCTCTCCTCTGAGTGACAGGCAGGCGCCTCTCTCCTCTGAGTGACAGGCAGGCGCCTCTCTCCTCTGAGTGACAGGCAAGCGCCTCTCTCCTCTGAGTGACAGGCAAGCGCCTCTCTCCTCTGAGTGAGAGGCAGGCGCCTCTCTCCTCTGAGTGAGAGGCAGGCGCCTCTCTCCTCTGAGTGAGAGGCAGGCGCCTCTCTCCTCTGAGTGAGAGGCAGGCGCCCCTCTCCCCTGAGTGAGAGGCAGGCGCCTCTCTCCTCTGAGTGAGAGGCAGGCGCCTCTCTCCTCTGAGTGAGAGGCAGGCGCCTCTCTCCTCTGAGTGAGAGGCAGGCGCCTCTTTCCTCTGAGTGAGAAGCAGGCGCATCTCTCCTCTGAGTGAGAGGCAGGCGCCCCTCTCCTCTGAGTGAGAGGCAGGGGCCTCTCTCCTCTGAGTGAGAGGCAGGCGCCTCTCTCCTCTGAGTGAGAGGCAGGGGCCTCTCTCCTCTGAGTGAGAGGCAGGCGCCTCTCTCCTCTGAGTGACAGGCAGGCGCCCCTCCTCTGAGTGAGAGGCAGGTGCCTCTCTCCTCTGAGTGAGAGGCAGGCACCTCTCTCCTCTGAGTGAGAGGCAGGCGCCTCTCTCCTCTGAGTGAGAGGCAGGCGCCTCTCTCCTCTGAGTGAGAGGTAGGCGCCCCTCTCCTCTGAGTGAGAGGCAGGTGCCTCTCTCCTCTGAGTGAGAGGCAGGCGCCTCTCTCCTCTGAGTGAGAGGCAGGCGCCTCTCTCCTCTGAGTGAGAGGCAGGCACCTCTCTCCTCTGAGTGAGAGGCAGGCGCCTCTCTCCTCTGAGTGAGAGGCAGGCGCCTCTCTCCTCTGAGTGAGAGGCAGGCGCCTCTCTCCTCTGAGTGAGAGGCAGGCGCCTCTCTCCTCTGAGTGAGAGGCAGGCGCCTCTCTCCTCTGAGTGAGAGGCAGGCGCCTCTTTCCTCTGAGTGAGAGGCAGGCGCCTCTCTCCTCTGAGTGAGAGGCAGGCGCCCCTCTCCTCTGAGTGAGAGGCAAACGCCTCTCTCCTTTGAGTGAGAGGCAAACGCCTCTCTCCTCTGAGTGAGAGGCAGGCGCCCCTCTCCTCTGATTGAGAGGCAGGCGCCTCTCTCCTCAGAGTGAGAGGCAGGCGCCTCTCTCCTCTGAGTGAGAGGCAGGCGCCTCTCTCCTCTGAGTGAGAGGCAGGCGCCTCTCTCCTCTGAGTGACAGGCAGGCGCCTCTCTCCTCTGAGTGACAGGCAGGCGCCTCTCTCCTCTGAGTGACAGGCAAGCGCCTCTCTCCTCTGAGTGACAGGCAAGCGCCTCTCTCCTCTGAGTGACAGGCAGGCGCCTCTCTCATCTGAGTGACAGGCAGGCGCCTCTCTCCTCTGAGTGAGAGGCAGGCGCCTCTCTCCTCTGAGTGAGAGGCAGGCGCCTCTTTCCTCTGAGTGAGAGGCAGGCGCCTCTCTCCTCTGAGTGAGAGGCAGGCGCCTCTCTCCTCTGAGTGAGAGGCAGGCGCCCCTCTCCTCTGAGTGAGAGGCAGGCGCCTCTCTCCTCTGAGTGAGAGGCAGGCGCCTCTCTCCTCTGAGTGAGAGGCAGGCGCCTCTCTCCTCTGAGTGAGAGGCAGGCGCCTCTCTCCTCTGAGTGAGAGGCAGGCGCCTCTTTCCTCTGAGTGAGAGGCAGGCGCCTCTCTCCTCTGAGTGAGAGGCAGGCGCCTCTCTCCTCTGAGTGAGAGGCAGGCGCCTCTCTCCTCTGAGTGAGAGGCAGGCGCCTCTCTCCTCTGAGTGAGAGGCAGGCGCCTCTCTCCTTTGAGTGAGAGGCAGGCGCCCCTCTCCTCTGAGTGAGAGGCAGGCGCCTCTCCTCTAAGTGGCGCCGCTCCTCTTAGAGGCAGGCGCCTGTCCTCATAGAGGCGCTTCTCTTCTAAGAGCCAGGCACCTCTCCTCTAAGAGGCAGGCGCCTCCACCTTTCCACCACTCCAACCCTCCACCCCACCACCTTTTGGCATGTTCTGGCATGGCTTGATTGAATCCTCGTTCATGGTTTTGTCAGCTGCTGTTTTGCCTGCCTTACCTACACTGTGCTTGACGATTGTTCTCCAGGATGGCCCCGTCCACACCCTCTACTCCACGCCCTGCAATGCCATGCACGCTCTCACAAACCTCTTGTGCAACGTGTTACGTGTGTTCATTCGCGCCCCCACCCCTGTCAGGATGGCCGGGTCAACGCCCTCTACTCCACGCCGTCCCTCTATGTGGACGCCGTTCAAAAGGAGAACAAGACGTGGCCTCTCAAGACCGGTGACATGTTCCCGTGCGTAAAGACTACGTGATCTTTCAAAAATATCAGTAATTACGATATCCATATACATGCATTCTGACCTTTCCTGTGTCTCCTCCGATTTATTGCTTCCACCCTTGTTTCTCCCTCCTCCCTCCCCTGCGGTGCCCTGCCAGCACTTGGTTTATTCCATGCTTCTTATTATTCAAGACCCTGCCATTTTCTCTTATCTCCTCTTCTCCCTCCCTAACCATAAATTCAGCTATGCCGACGCCCCAAACTTCGTCTGGACGGGGTATTTCGCCAGCCGGGCAAACTTCAAGCGTTTTGCTCGCGCCTGCAGCTCCCTGCTGCTGGTACGCCGTTTTGGCCTTGAATTGACTTGAGCTGACTTGTCTTGACTTGACGTGTCACGAACCAATGTATGGCCCACTTTTTCTTGCCCGTCCTTGTCTCAGCCAAGTCAACTGTCAACCTCCCCCTTGTCTACACCCCCCCACCTGTCTATCGCCTCTCATGCACTCCTGTACTTACACACATGGCCGCTTTCTCTGCACCCCTATCACCCCCCTTTCTCCAGTTTTCTTTACTTCCAATTCACATGGGGGGTTCCCTGTGTCCCTTCCTCTCCCAGCGACTATTCTGTACCTTTCACCCCCCTGCTCCTAACTCGACCAGGCGACCACAATTCTCGAGGCTGCGGTGGGCAAGACCGCTCTGAGGGACTGGGGGCTGAAGACCCACAGGATGATCGCTACAGACGAGTTTCTGTTTGACAATCACCTGGGAAAGAACCTGAAACCCACCAGCGGGACAGAAGGGGCCGAACGTGGTGGAGCCGTGGGAGAGGGTGGGGGAGGAGGGAGTGGAGAAGGGGGAGTGGGAGGGAATGTTGAGAGTGGTGAGTGGGAGGAGTGGGAGAGGGTGGGTGCGGGTGCGAGGAGGAGGAGGGTGGCGTCAACGTTCCCTTTGGAGGAGGCAGTGGCGGTGGCACAGCACCACGATGCCATCACAGGCACGGCCCAGCAGCACGTGAATGACGACTACACAATCCGCCTGCACCGAGCCACACAGGAGGTGAGGAAAGCGGGGGAGGGTGGGGGTGGAAGCGGTGGGAAGAGTGGTATGGGGGGGTTGGGTGGGGTAGAGCAGCAAGTGAATGTTGCCCTCATGGTCAGACTGCAAGAATCATCTCAAGGGTGGGCGAGGGGAGGGAGGTGAAAGGTGGTTGCAGTTGTGGGGAAGGGTGTCGAGAGTCTAGGCTGTCCACTTATGCCGGATACCATTTCACTCGCTGTCTATGCTTTGGCGTTCACTCCTTTTTGAGTGACCCACCTTTACACCACACCTTTCCCCTGTTTCCATCCTGTTTCTCCCCTCCTTACAATCACTCCAGGCCTCCACTGTAGTGGCAGCTGCTCTTGTTCACCTCATCACCCAAGCAGCCCCCACCACTCTCCCGCCGCGCTCCTCTTCCCCAACGTCCAGCTCAACTCCCCAAGACCCATCTCGAGCCTTCTTCACACCCACTGCTGACCCAACAATGGGGCCCTCAGACTTCCCTCCCTTCAATGACCCCACACTTGATCCTGCTGCTCAGTTACAAGCCCAGCCATGGGATCCTGTAGACCCGAATCAGCCCCAGTCGTTTCCTGAAAAGCCAACCCTCGAAACTGCCAGTCCATTTGATCCGCCTATGCCAGACGGTAGCGAGCCTGACCCGCTGTTCTCTCAACTGCACCCAGAATTGACTCAGGGTGATGCAGGCTCGAATGAGGGAGAGACGCAGCACTCAGTGGATACGCCTTCGTTTTTCCCTTACAACCGCCAAGTGCCCCCTTTGGAAGAGACACTCCAGTCGCAGCAGACAGTACAATGGACAGATGCGAATCAACAGGAACAACCATCAGGAACCGTTGATGTTCATGCTCCACAAGAGGAGGTTTCGCCTGGGAGAAGGGGGCAAGAGATTGTGCTGAGGGGAAGGGGGACCAGCATAGCGGGAGAGAGTAGTAGAGTGGTGGGTGGGAATGGAGATTCAGGTGAGGAAGTGGGGGGGAGTGGGAGTGGTGCCGGCAGCAGCAGCAGCAACAGGGGAAGGCGGCTTCTGAGGGAGGGAGGGAGTGCGGCCGATGCGCGTCAAGGGAACGAGGGCAGCGAGCAAGCGAGCACAGAGGGTGGTGATCGAAGGAGTGCAAGCGAGGGAGGGGCGACGCACGGCATGCCTGTGCTGGACTTTCAAATGGTATGCAATGCTGTTGTTGTGTTACAGCTTCTACCGAACCATGCAGTTTCCAGGCTTTTCAGTTCTGTGGGCAAGTAGCGGCCTCACTTACTCTTCACTCTGAGAATATGTTGCCCTCACTGTGGTTTCCCATTTTAAGTAGAAATTTCCCATTTCTACTTTCGTTGGCTTAATATTTTTCCATCATTCACACTCTCCATCCCCTTCCACAACCCATCCCATCCCCTGCATTCCTCTTCCATCCCCTTCTACTTACACTTCTCCACTTCTGCTGCAGTGTCCATTGCTCAACCTCTCCTATTGTCCCCCGTCTGAAACAAAACTCAGCCCAGACCAAGTCCTGGTATACCGCACCTCCTTTTCTCCTCTTCATGTCGTCCTGTTTTTAACATGCATCTCTCCTCCTGCACCGTTCAGATTCCTTCTCCACACACACTTCGTGTTGTTAATTGAGCCACGCCCCATGCTGCGTTCCCAACCAGGCAACTATGTCGCATTTTAGTCGACTGGAAAGTCAACTCTTTATTCCGCTAACAACGGACTTTCTCGTTCTGAAACCCCAACCAGGTGGTGACTGTGTTCAACCCACTAGGGTGGCCCCGCACAGAGATCGTTCGGTTCCCGGTACGCCCCTCCTACCTCCCTTTGCATCCCTCTTCCATTTTTCTCGGCAATTTTCCACCTCTCTGCATCTTTCTTTATTTCGTAACCCTTCCCCTTCCCAAACACCCCACCCCAATTCCCCACCCGCCCCCCGTTCCCTTCCACTCCCCCCAATCCAACTGCACACCCGGCCCGCGTCTCCTACCTTACAGGTGTCCTCGCCATCAGTCCTGGTGACAGACTCGTCCAACTCCCCCATCCCAGCCCAAATCGTCACCGAAACCCTCGTAGACCCCAACACACGCGCCTTCTATGTTGCAGCATACACTGGTCAGTTGCCCCAGGAGCCCCAGCAGTCTCAGCAGCAGCCCCAGCAGCCAGGGCAGCAGGAGGGGCAAATGGACGGGGCCCAGCAGCAGCAGGAGGGGCGGCAAATGTCGGTTGTGTTCCGTGCCGAGGTGCCTCCTCTTGGATACACTACTTTCTTCCTCACTGCCGTGCCACCAGGTATGAGCCAGTTACAGTGACAGTGACTGTGACAGTGAGACTGAGAGTGACAGGGACAGTGACAGTGACAGTGACAGGGACAGTGACAGTGACAGTGACAGTGACAGTGACAGTGACAGTGACAGCGACAGTGACATAATCCACCTTGTTTTCCCTTAATCCCCTCCCCTGCGCTGCGCTCTTTCCCTTCCTCACACAGTCATGTCATCCCTGTTCTTTCGCCCGTCATATGCCCCCCACACAGGCACACAAGGAGCAGCCGTCATCAGCACTACAGAGTCTGCAGAAGTCCCTGCCCTCAAAGACCCAACCGGAACCCCCAACAGCGCAAACACAGCAAATTCTCCAGCTCAAAACATCGTTCTAGGGGGCTTTAAAGCCGACTCATCTTCTGCTGGTGGTGCTGGTGGTGCTGCTGGCAAGGGTACTGGTGCAGGCAAGGAAGGAGAGAGTGCACTGCGAGTGACGTTCACCAAGGCAGCGTATGGCATGACGCAGATGGAGCTTGTCCGACAGACAGATGGTGAACAAGTGACTGTGGTGAGTGCGAGCTAGCTGCTTGGGATGGGATGGGATAGTCCTGGTGCTGGTGCCGAGCCTACTGGTGCAGGAAAGGATGGAGACACTGCTCTGCAAGTGACTTTCTCCAAGGCAGCGTATGGCATGACGCAGATGGAGCTCGTTCGACAGACTGATGGTGAACATGTGACTGTGGTGAGTGTGGGTGTTCTGCTTGGGGTGGTAGGTAGTGACTTTTGAATCAACTTAAAGCTCCTTCAACAAACAGATGGCAAACAGACAGCGAATCGACATCCCCACTCCTGCAATAACCCTCTCACTCCCTGTTCCACCCACTTCTTGCCTTCGCTCTGCCTTACCCTTTGCGAAAAAACCTCTCTGTTGCTTCCTTGCTGCTCTGGCAGGATGTGGCGCAGCCTGTCAGGTCGGACGTCCTGGAGTATGTCACACAAAAGGTACACAGCGGCGGAGAATGTCACGCAGAAGGTACACAGCGGTGGATTATGTCACACAAAAGGTACACAGCGGCGGAGAATGTCACGCAGAAGGTACACATCGGTGCAGTATGTTATGCGCAAGGTACACGGTGGTGGGATATGTCACACAAAAGGTACTTAGTGGTGGAGAATGTTACACACAAGGTACAGAGTGGTGGAGTATGTCACGCACAAGGTGCGTAGTGGATTATGTCACAACACAAGCAAGGTATCTGCTGAATCCCCTTGACTTGTGCCTGTCCCTTTGTCACCGAATATGCACGGTTGTGCATATAAGGTGCCAGTATCATGGTGGTGTAGTGGAGGTGTAGCTATGTTGTGTTTGCAAATTCGAGGATAGGTAGGTGGGAGCTGGGAAATTGACGCGAAGTTGGTAGGAGAGCACCTTGGGTGAAATCCTTGCAACCAATGAGAACGAACCAACCCAGGCTCGAGCCGCACATTGAGAAATGCACGGTTCGAGCCAGGGTCAGGTAAGTTCACTCTCACACACACCTCTGATGCTTTCTGTTTGTTATCCTTTCGTATAGTGGACTGTTGTTACCTTACCAGAGCAGGCGGGTGGCACACCACTCAGGGAGGACCTTTGAGGTGAGAGTTCTGTCGCTTTCATAACAAACAGAAAGGTGCGCGTACAAGCATGGATGTGTACGAGATGCGTTACGGCAGGAATTATGGTCGCCGTGAGGCGGATCGCTCGCGGCGCGAACGCTCACGTGAGCGCGGGCGCTCGCTGGAGAGGTCACCGCGGCGGCCTGAGCGATCGCCGCGGAGGCCGGCCTTTCGCGCGGATCAGGTCCCTCTCGCGCCAGATCGCCAGGAGGGAGGATCCGCCCGAGAAGGAAGAGGCGGATCTGGATCCGTCACGACGGGGAGTGACCCGTGGCGGACGGACGGGCGTCACGGAGCGGATGGCGGTCGTGGGTACCGCCAGGACACGGGAGCATACCGCTCGCCGGAGGAAGGCTATCGCCGTCGCGAAGAGAGAAGTCGCGGGCGAGGTCTGGAGGAGCTCTTCTCGGGTCGCCAAGGCGATCTTGATGTGGATGGAGAAGACGAGGCCGACTCGGCGAATCGAGTGCGGGAGACGAATCGTGAAGGCGAGACCAAGGGCGATGACGAACCCCAGGAGGAAGGCGCAGGCGAGCAGCGCGAGATGCCCGCTGGAGTTGATGACGACGATCCCGCGCAGGCGGGCGTGGCGGCGGAGCCGAGCACGGCGGAGGCGGAAGGAAAGGGCGGTACTCGAGACCTGCCGCGCGACGGAGAGAAAGGTGACGGCGGGGGGCGTGGCAGTGGGGCGCGCTCTCCAGATCCGCGTCAGCAGCGTGACGAGGGACGTGGCGGCGGCGCGCGTTCGCCTGATCCGCGCCTGAATCGGGACGGAGGACGCGGCGGCGGTGCGCGCTCGCCAGAGCCTCGGCTGAATCGTGATGGGGGACGCGACGGAGGCACGCGCTCGCCAGATCCACGGATGTATCGGGAGGGGGGGCGTGGCGGCGGTACGCGCTCGCCAGATCGGCGGCAGAATCGTGACGGGGAACGCGGTGGCGGCGCGCGCTCGCCAGATCCACGTCTCCCGCACGAGGACGGGAGGCACGGAAGCGGCTACCGCTCGCCAGGACGGCAGCAGCTGCAGGAAGAAAGGCGCAGAGGCGGCTACCGCTCGCCAGAGCCACGGCGGCACCAGGACAGTGGACGCGGGGGAAGTGTGCGCTCACCAGATCCGCGGAGGTATCACAACTGGAGAAGCGGGGGGGAGCTGCGCTCTCCAGGTCCTCGTTACCCTCGTGATGAGAGACGCGGAGGCGACTACCGCTCGCCTGATCTGCAACGGTATCATGGAGAGAGGTGGGGAAGCGAGACGCGCTCGCCCGACTGGCACAGGCAACATGGAGAAAGCCGGGGAGGCGGATACGGCTCGCAGCTTCGGCAACAGAGCAGGGATGAGGGGCGCGGCGGAGGGTATCACTCACCTGATCGGTACTGGCAGCATGACGGAGGACGTACCAGTGAGGGAGGACGGGATCAACGCAACAGCAGAGAGGAAGGCAGCGGGCTGATGCACAGCCTAGAACGGGCTAGAGAGGCGAGGGAAGGAATACTACGGGCGAGAGAGAGAGGAGCATCAGGGAGATCAGCAGGAGGGCCGAGCGAGGCGTGGGGAGAAGGCAAGGGAAGCACGGTAATGGCCACGAGAGTGGAAGTGCCAGCACGCTTCTCAGGAGATCAGCGCACGGGCCCCACGCTGAAGAACTACCTGATGCAGGTGGGCAACGTGCGGTACAGATGCGAAAGGAGCGGCATGGACTCGGTGGACTTTTTCCTGAGTCTGCCAAACACATTGGAAGGGGAGGCGGAGACATTGTACAGGATGAAGATGGATGAGCTACTGGAAAGGGCAGGAAGGTACGGGGAAGACCCTACTGAAGCATTCCTGAGGCGACTGAAACGGCAGTTTCCAGGTCACACCGCAGAGAAGATCAGGGAATTCCAAGATTTCAGGAAGGGGCGGGGCGAGTCACTACTCACCTACTATAACCGGCTGGTCAACCTGGCAGAGGATGTGACTTGCGCAGACATGGCCCTGCTCGTGAGTAAATTCCTGGATGGGCTGGAGGGCACTTTGGGAAGCGGACTGCGGATGAAGGTGTATGAGATGGGGGCCGACACAACGCTTGAAGAGGTGTTTGAACTGGCAGAGAAGATGGAGCTGGCGCAGAGGAAATATGAAGCATACAGGCCCAGACAGGCGGAGCGAGGCAGGGGGCCTACATGGGCTGCGGCCATGATACCGGAGGAGAAGGACAGGGCAGCGGGAAGAGGGGAGACCAGGCCTGACACACGAACATGCCACAGATGCGGGCAGCCAGGACACTTGCGCCGAGACTGCAAGAACTGTGACTCCTGTGGCAAGCCAGGGCATCGGCGGCGGGAATGTCCAACGGCACCGAAGTGTGAAGCCTGTGGGAAAGGAGGGCATGCAGCAAAGGAGTGTTATCAGCGAGAGGGAGCAGCGAAGAAGTCACCAGAAGATCTGGAGAAGCAAATCAGCAGGCTGCAGGCCCAGCTGCAGGCAATGGGACCACGACGGGAAGCAGAGGCGGGGATGTACGCCAAGGAAGAGGAGGAAGAAGATGTGGAGCAGGATGAGGAAGCCGCGTTCATGGTCTGGGCGGGAAGAGGAGAGAATGAGATGGAGCATGAGGAGCAACCAGCATACATGGCATGGCGAGGAAGGGAGGAGATGGGGTTGCGCAGCGGAGGAAAGGATGCACGGAAGGAGCAGCTGAGAAAGGAGCGGGAGAGAGGACAGAAGCCGGAGGAAAAGGAGGAGAGATGCACAGCAGCACGGCACCCCCAGGAGAGGTTGGCTTGCCAGACTTCCGTGCTGCTGATCCAAGGTGGTGCGCTGTCAGTGGAAGGGGAGAAGGCTAAGACGGCTATTATAGACACTGGAGCGCAGAGCGTGATACTCGGAAAGGGGATGGCCGAGAAGCTGGGACTGTGGGCACCTGACAGGCATGTCGTGAAGGGGATGCTAGTGATGACAGCAGAGGGGGGAGAGTCGAAGTGGATGCCTTGTACGAGGACTCCAATAGAACTGACGGTGCTGAAGGGGGAGAAGCATGAGACGCCGGTTAGAATCAGGTGCGGGATCTCAGAGTCAGAAGATTTTGACGTCCTGGTGGGCACAGAGATGATCTTTGCATTGGGCATGACCATCTGCTTCTGGAAGGAGACAGTGGAGTTCAGAACCAGGTGGTGGAGGAAGGGTGAGCCACTGGGGCAGCTGCCGGTGCAGTTTGTCAGGACCGAGCCAAAAAGGGCCTACAGGGCAGATCTGAAGGAGGTGACAGCGAAGCAGGGGGCACAGAAGGCCGCAACAGGCAAGGGACAAGGTGGGGAGCCCAGGATGCGTTTCATGGACGAACCTAGCCAGCAGACCGATTGGCAGCAACCCATTCGGCTGGTGGAGCTGTTCGGAGGAATCGGGGCGGGACTGGCAGCAGTGGTGCGAAATGGAATTGCAGTGAAGCAGTGGATTTACGTGGAGAAAGCACCAGAAGTGAGGAAAATAGCGGAGCATCAGGCGTGGGAGTTGCACAGAGAGTTCCCGGAGCTGCTGCAGGGAGAGGTGATCAAGGCAGCAATGAGCAGAGGAGTGAACGATGTAAGGGCCATTACGGAAGCTGAGGTAGCAAGCTGGGGGCACGTGGACCTGTTGGTGGCAGGGTGGGAATGCCAAGGGGTATCATGGGCAGGGAAGGGCAAGGGTGAGCAAGACCTACGAACACAACTGATGGAGGATCTGTTCAGAGTCATGGAGTGGGTGCAGGCGAGGCAAGGCAGAGTGGCTTACCTGCTGGAGCACTTGGATATGGAGGGAGACGTGAGAGAACCGATAAGACTAGTAAGGGAGAGAGTGACCAGACAGGTGGGGAAAGGAGTGAGCAGTGATGCGGCGCGGATGGGAGCATATGCGCACAGGCTCAGGATGTACTGGCAGAATGTGGTACCAGTAGAAGACCTGCAGAAGGAAATAGAAGGGGTGCAGAGAGCTGGGGGACGGAAGCTGAGCGACATATTGGAGCCAGGAAGAACGCCAGCACCAGTGACCAAGAAGGGCTACAGCAGGCATTATCCCTGCAACCAGGTGGGACAGGAAAGGCAGGCACTGCCTACCCTGGTGTCATATGAGGGGGCAGCAGGCTATCAGATGGATGGGAAGCAGCCAGGCCCAGGATTGGTGCATGACCACAGGAAGGGACAGTGGGAAGAGCCCACGGCCTTGGAGAGGGAGCTGGCCATGGGATACAAGGAGAACGCTACAGCAGCCCCAGGCGTGAGCGAGAAGGAACGGAGACGGGCATTGGGGAATGCCATGGATGGGTACATGATGAGGTGGTTGGTGCAGCGGATGTGGAAGGAGACAGTGCTGCACTGGGGACTGAAGG